TTGTTATTATTTTTTTATTCTTTTGGAGCGATTGTCGCGCAAAACAAAAATCACGTGCTCACAATCGTTTCTCGTCATTAACTCTCGGAAAAATGAGGGGACTATCTGTATATGGTTGAAACCGGGCTCGCATGCTGCACGAAAGATCGAGACTGAAATGAGATGGTTTGGAGATCGATTCTGGATCAAGGTACGAAGTTAGAATATATCATCGAGCTTGTAACTCCGGAACCAACCTCGTCCCCGATCAAGCTCGAGGAAATACTATCGGACCGAATAACGGAAGGCTGTAATATCCGTGACCGGTCGGATATCACGGCACGACGGAAATCTCGGCACTATCCGCAAGAGACCCACTGATTAGCTAATCATGAGATTTCTTACCTTTTGTAGAATTGTATCTAAAGTAGGATTCCCTTACTATATAAAGGGATCTGATCATTTGTAACACGCATTGTAATATGCATCAAAAGGCAATACACTATTATTTCTAGTTCTTATTATCTTGTGATTTTGTTTTGATATCGATTGTGGCGCTTTCTTGCTCGAGGGTGATCAAACTTCAAGGCTAAGACTTTTCAATTTGGATGGTTTGTCTTTATTTTCTTATCATTAATCTCAGTATTAATCTGTTTTTTCAATTTGTATCAAGTTACATCACGTATCCTTAAAACCGCATATAAATTCAATTGTTATCCGATTTTAAGTGTAAACAAATTTATTCAAATTAACTCTTAAATTATGAAATGTTAGATTGGTAGCTATTATTTGTGTGCGCTTTCGCCTGTGGAATATTTATGCTCGAACGTAGCTTATATATAGAAGAACTAATTGAGTTTTAGCATTTTATAATTACCAAAAGCTGCCATTCTGTTATTTTCAAATGAATCTGATTCTCGGTAGAGGAAACTGTATCATATCCCTTCGGAATGAAGTCTTCGATCGAAAATTTCATTTCGTGCAATCTAATAATCTTGATACAATTTGAAGTAAAATCATTGACAGCATATATTTTTCGTTTTTATGTTAAAGTTTCATACATCAAGATTTAATTTTAATTTTCTGAGCCATCTAGTTTTTCATATTGCAACAACACCCCCCCCCCCNTCCCAAACACACACACACACAAAATCTCAATGAACGGTTAAAGCCTCGTAATAACTACTGGCAAATTAGAAGAAAAAAAAGTAAAAGTCAAAAGTAAAAAAAGCTAAAGGAGAGGAAAAAATAAACCAAGTGCACAAATAGGTATTTTCAGGGATGTCATTTAGGGATCAGTCGGTACTTATTTTGTCTTGAATTTTAAACTAAAACCTTAATTTCAGGATAATGCAGGACATTTTTATCCCAAAAAATTGAACAGAAAACTAAAGTTCAGGACGCACTAACTAATTTCTAAGTAACAGTTCTTTTAAAGTGGCCACATGATTGTCATTTCTACCTAAATCTTGTAGTCAAATTAATTATGTCCTTATCTCATGCAACGTTTATGACTATCTCATCCCATTTAATTCGCCCTGAGCTCGACAGACTCTGTAGTTATAATTGGATTTAATTCACTTTCCCCTAATTCCCCAGTTTAGACTTTAGACTACTAAACACATTTAGCATTCTATTTTGAATCTCTCAGCTTAAGTAAAATGAACTCTAATTTCTTTATTCCTCATTGAAGCACATAGACCCCAGGCATTGCACACATATAATTTATGTGTTTTATACTTCGCCGATTTTAAGGAATGTATACAACTTATCAAGGTATGAGTAAATTGACCTGAACAGCACTGTCATAGAAAAAAGCATTCGGAAAATTGGATTCGAACAAAATTATCTAAAAAAAGTAACATACTTATAAAGGTAAAAATATATTTTATTTTTTATAAAAATTTTACATATACAGAATAATCCACGTGGTAGGCGAGTGCACCCATACTCTTTGCCACATCAGCATTCAGGGGGTACTGGCTCTCAAAAGGCCAAATTGAGGGGTAATTAAGATCACAAATAATTTAAGGCTGTAACTAATAATCCATGTCAAGTTTAGGGAGTAGTAAGGTATTTTGGCTAGAATAAATATACACAGTTTAATTTTCAACTTAAGCTAACGAGAGTAAATTGGTGGCATCTGTCGATAAAGAAATTCATCACTATTATTTAAGAACATAAGTCAATGCATCTACTTAAACTAATTATTACTCTTGCTGTTTTATTTTAAAAAGAGTCTAAAAAAGAAGAATCACCCATTTCTATGACATAATTTTTAACTTTAAAACTTTTATTTTATTTGTAATAATATATTTTATAACCACACGAACATAAGTCTTAAAATCTTTTCTATTCCCCTAAAACCTCTTCGACGAAGCAAACATCACCATGTAGGATCAAAATGGAGAAAGTATAAAATATGGTCAAACTCAATTGAATGATAAAGTATATCCGCAACCATATACCTGAAGACATAAAAAAGGGAATCAATTATACACTTCAAACCAAAGTTCATCCTAATCTCAAGATATATAATTTCAGGGTCAAAATTTGACTTAAAATAAGGTGGTAACTGAAAATAAAAACCCCTCCTTTTCTCTCTTTCACACACAGTTTGCTCATCTTCTTTGTTTATTTCGTCAGTATCATTTTCATCCTCTTCTGTTTTCTTTACTAATGGGAGCAGTAATTTTGTTGTACACCATTCTACTTCTCTTTCTCCACTCATCAATGGCTGCAATTCCCACCAAAAAAACCTACATTGTACACATGAAACATCACCTCAAACCTCCTTCTTTCTCTACTCACCATCAATGGTACAAATCCTATCTCCAGTCTCTCACTTCTTCAAATAAAAATTCTCTTCTCTACACTTACGACATTGCCTCTCACGGTTTTGCTGCAAGTCTTTATCCCCATGAAGTTGATTTACTCCGCCAATCTGATTCTGTCGTTAATGTCTATGAAGACACTTTTTACACCCTTCAAACAACCCGTACCCCTGAATTTCTTGGCCTCGATAATCTCAATTCATGGGCTGGACGTACTTTACCAGAATTAAATAATGCTGCTCAAGATGTTATTATTGGAGTTCTTGATAGTGGAATTTGGCCCGAGTCTAAAAGTTTTAGTGATGTGGGCATGTCTAATGTGCCGTCTAGATGGCGTGGTGAATGCCAATCGGCACCTGATTTCGACCCGAATGTGCGTTGCAATAAGAAACTTATTGGTGCTCAGTATTTTGTTAAAGGTTGTAAGGCCTCTAGCAGCTGCTCTGAGGAGATTGAATCGCCCCGGGACCATAACGGTCATGGCACTCATACTGCGAGCACAGCTGCAGGTAGTGGCCTATTCAAGATTTAAACTTGATGCATTTAATAAATTACGTGCTATTTATTGAAAGTTAGTAATTATTCTCGTGTGTATATATATATCGTGTCAAAAAGGCTGGATTCAGTTGAACTCATATTGCATGCAGGATCCATTGTGGCAAATGCTAGTCTCTTTGGCTATGCGAAAGGGACTGCACGAGGGATGGCACCACAAGCCCGTATAGCGAGCTACAAAGTGTGCTGGAATGAAACTTGTGCTGGCTCTGATATTCTTGCTGCCTTCGACCGTGCTATTATGGATGGTGTTGATGTATTGTCCGTGTCATTGTCTAATAATGCAACAACATATTACAACGATGCCATTGCTCTAGGTGCTTTCGCTGCTATTGAGAAAGGCATTCTTGTGTCGTGTTCAGCCGGGAATGATGGTCCTAGGATATCAACAGTTGTGAACACGGCTCCATGGGTAATTACTGTTGGTGCTGCAACTCTTGACCGAGACTTTCCTGCTTTTGTTACTTTGGGTAATGGCCAAAGACTTCAAGGTGTGTCGTTGTATAGTGGAAAAGAAATGGAAAATAAATCACTGAGCTTAATTTACCCAAAAGGAAACAACTCGTCTAGCAATTTGTGCTTACGTGGTTCGCTTGATCCAAATGTGGTTCGTGGAAAAGTAGTATTATGTGACCGGGGGGCTAATGATAGAGTTGAGAAGGGACTGGTAGTGAAGGAAGCAAATGGAATAGGTATGATATTAGCCAATACACCCGAAACAGGAGAGGAGTTAGTCGCGGATAGCCAATTATTGCCTGCAGTGGCTGTTGGGAGGAAGGTGGGGGATGTAATAAGAGAATATGTGAAAACAGAAAGCAATCCAACAGTTGATTTTACTTTTCTTGGGACAGTGGTGAAAGTTAAACCATCCCCAGTTGTCGCTGGATTTAGCTCAAGAGGGCCAAATGCAATTGCTCCTCAGATATTAAAGCCTGATGTCATTGGTCCTGGAGTGAATATCTTGGCAGCTTGGCCTGAAAATGTAGGGCCAACTTCACTTGATGTTGATACGCGAAAGACTTCATTCAATATCATTTCTGGCACTTCTATGGCTTGTCCTCATGTTACAGGAGTTGCTGCATTGATAAAAGCTGTACATCCAGAATGGAGTCCAAGCGCGATTAAATCAGCAATCATGACAACTGCGTACAATCAAGATAACACCAACTCCTCATTTCGTGATTCTGCAGAGGACGGTATATTTTCCAATCCATTGGCTCATGGATCAGGCCATGTAAATCCCCAGAAAGCACTCTCCCCAGGACTCGTGTACGACATTAGAATTCAGGATCATATCAAGTTCTTGTGCTCCTTGGACTACCCTATGGATCAAATACAAGCTATTGTCAAAAGAGTCAACTTCACTTGTGCAAACAAGTTTGCAGACGCTGGGCAGATCAATTACCCCTCGTTCTCGGTCTTGTTTGGGATTAACTCAACACGAGTTGTTCGTTACACTCGGGAAGTGACCAATGTTGGAGCTGCAGAGTCTGTGTATGAAGTAGCCATAGATGCTCCTTCATCTGTTACAGCGACTGTGAAGCCGCCAAAGCTTGTATTCAAGAAAGTAGGAGAAAAACTCCATTACACAGTCACATTTGTGTCCAAGAAAGGTGCTAAAACAGGGAATGCATTTGGTTGGATTTCATGGGAAAATGCTGAAAATCAAGTGAGGAGTCCAGTTGCATTTTCCTGGATGACAGACCTCAATTAGATTGGAAACATTCCTTTTTCCCAGTGAAATATTTGCATGTATGGTGCTAATTAATGCTTTAACTTATAGGGTGCTAATCCTATCATATTGTACAACTACTACAAGGGATGATGCTATGCCATAAATAACTGCATCTCTGATTAGTGGAAATGAAATGTCTACTAACTTAATGGAATCCAAGATCTAATTGGCCCCTCATCATTTTTCTCTATCATAAATACTGAAAGCATTTGTAATTACAAAACGATAACCTCACAGGCCACAAGGTCAAAACTCTTATTCTCAGTCAAGATGATCGTAGAACAAGCAGAATACATAAAAATATTTAAAAGAATTAAAGAAACGACATGTTAGGTTGTAGCTGAAGCGATTAAGGATACACGTTACTTTTTTTAAAAATGACATTGTATAGCCGCTATAAAAATAATAGTCAAAAAAATATATAAAATTTGTATATTTTTTGTATATATATACATTATGTATGTTATATACAAAAATTATACAAGTTTTATACACTTTTTCGACTATCAGATGTAAATAGTTTCTGGCGCAGGTTAAAGAACCAGTAAATAGATGAGAAATAATAATAAAAACTAGTGAATAAAGCTCGATACTATGAAAAATGAAAGAATATATATTATTTTAAATAAAGATAAAATTATTGGCATTCAGTTGAGGAAATAAATACACTAGTTGAGATAAAATAATAAAAGTAAAAGAACAATATTGTAGAGAAAGAGAGAGTAATTCTTATTGAATTTTGGGATGATTTATAATGGGGTAAGACCCCTCTANAGTAAAAGGATTTTAGTCCGAACCTCGGGTTTTGACCAAGCAGGCCCGGGGTCGCTTTTTCGAATTTTTAGAGGAAAATTTGAGAAATTTAATTTATGCAATATAATTGATTCTTTTAGCAATATTTAATATTATTGAGTAATTTTTAAATAGATACGAGTGATTTGGAGGTGAATTCCAAAGAAAAAGCTATGACTGAGAATTAAGTGGC